TGCATAAGGTGGGAATCCTTTCTCCCTCTGAGTTCCCACCCCCCATTTCTCAATGGAAAAGCACTAGTTCAGGTGACATGATCACATGTCACTGTAAGACTTCATTACCCACTTGCCAGTACACAGTATACAGGAAGACTCACAAGTAAAACAGAGCCATCTACAGACAATTGTCCTGGTTAATAGGAGCCATCAAGGTTCCAAACCACATTAATGGCCCACACTTTGCATAATTACAATAGGCCCTCAGAGTTATATTTTATATTTCTAGTTTTAGATACAAGAGTGACACATTTATACAAATAGGATGACCACACTCAGTAGATTATAAGCTTTGTAATGATACCTTACACGAGACCTTTTGCATGAAGCATATTCCAGTTTCATTATATTCATACTCATCAGCATACTTTCATAAAATCATATAGAGTGCAACGTCACACTAGGTTAAGGGGGAAATAAGATACTCCCATTATCTGCTATTACAGGATTCCTTAAACTAGCAGATAAAAGCATAACAAGATTCAGTTGCAGGCAGCTGAAGCCCGGTAATTTAAAAATGGAAATAACTGTTAAAAATTTGTATCTTGACAATTAGAACAGATCACTGAGGTGGTGGTAGATTCTTCATCATTTGTGATACATCTACACTGCAATGAAACGTGCTGCTGGCCTGTGTCTGCTGACTCGGGTTCACAGGGATTGGGCTGCAGGGCTATAAAGTTGCAGTATAGGCATTCAGGCTTGGACTGGAGCCTGGGTTCACAGGAGACCCCTGTCAGGGGGGAGGCCCCAGAGGCTAGGTTCAAGCCTGAGTCAGCTGACCTGGGTCAGCCGTGGGTGTTTAATTGCAGTGTAGATATATCCTCAGGGTATGTCTATACTGCAATGTAAACCCAGGGTTCAATCTCAGGCTCAAGCCTAAACTGTCTTCCATCTACACACAAGTCGTACTAACCCAGGGCTCGGACCCAGGGTCCCAGGTACCAACAGGGGTGGAGGGTCTGAGCCTGAGTCAAACCAGGATCCAGGGCTCAAGCCTTATAGCTTTGGAGTATAGATGCAGTCCCACTGGATTTGTGCACTGGGAATCCACCAAAAGTATCCCACAATTCCATGGGCTGACTTTCTTTGGCCTCTGAACAGTCACGTTTGGGGGACAGTCAAGCTTTCCCACACTGCACTACTAACAAAGGGCTAGAGCAGCCACATTTTGGGAGGGTGCTAGGAAGTCTGGGGTGTAGGTGCAATGTAGACACTATAGCCTCAGGTTGGGACCCAGGGTTCGACAGTTCCTAACATGGTGTTACAAATGTGTGTAGACACTCCAGGCCTAGGTTAACAAACTTGGAGTTGGCTAACTCAAGTTTTTCTAAACCTGATCTTACATTGCAGTGTAGACATACCCTTGGCGTCTTTAAAACAAGACTAGATGTCTTTCTAAAAGACATTCTCCAGTTCAGCCACAATTTGTTGATCTTGGGTGAAATTCTATGGCCTGTTTTATGCCAGGAGGTCAGACCAGATGATCATAATGGTCTTTTCTGTCCTTAAAATGTATTAAAATAATATCTTACTGGAAACAATACCATTGGGGAGAGGCAGAAAGGATCAGGGTCTAGGAAGCACAAGGAGCTCAATCCCTTTATTCAGACATTTTCTCATTGATTCCGTTTCAAATAACAATTCCCAAGCTTTGTTGATCTTTAAATTAGTTAGAGCATTCTAGAAGGATACAAACCACGATGATGAGGGCATTGTGATGAGGAAACAGCTTGTGAGCAGTCCCCCTGTCACGGAGTGTGGGGGGACACAAGGCCCTGCACCCCCGGCTTCCTGCGATTAACCATGACTCTCAGCCAGCCAGTAAAGCAGAAGGTTTATTCAGACAACAGGAATACAGTCCAAGACAGGTCTTGCAGACACAGACAACAGGACCCCCCCCCACAATTAGGTGCATCTTGGGGTCCCAGGGCACCACAGCCCCCTTGGGAGGTCAGAGCCCCGTCTGCCTCCCAGCCATTCCTCCAGCCAGCCCCCAACTCTCTCTCTCCACCATCTCCTCCCCCTCCCCTTTGTTCAGTTTCCCGGGCCAAGGTGTCACCTGGCCTCTAACCCCTTCCTGGGTTCTCATGTTACATCCTCAGGTATTCTCCCTCCCGGCCAGTCTCCCATCCCACAATGCAGACCATCCTAGCCACACTCCCCTGCCTTCCCAGCCAACACTCCCCACTCAGCATTCAAAGACCACATACCACATTAAGAACAGTCCCAATTCATCACACCCCCTTAAAGATATTTATTAATATAGAGAAATGGTAGGACTTGTGAAAAGGGAGAGAAAGGAGGAGAAAAACAATGAAAGAATAGAAAGGATAAAGAAAAGTAAGAGAAAGAAACAGCAGATAAGAGGAAAGGAAAAGACAGACAAAATATACTGAGACTATTTAAAAATTAAACATTTTACATTAAATAATATAAAGGATATGGGTTAGAGGACAAAAGACTGAGACATAGAAGGGAAGAAAAATGAATGAGAGCAAGCATTAAAAGTTTATTTGCAGCCAAAGTCTAAGTAAATTATTAACTATATATGTAAATAGCATAGTAACATATATAGCCATTCCATATGTAAATAAGTACATTTCCCAAGAGTCTGGCATTATTGCCTAGCAGAAGCTGAGATACAGGTAATGAAGGGGATGAAAGGTGCCTCTTAAACATTTACAACTGTTTTATGTCTGAGTTTGCTTATCAGACCAGCTAGTAGGATTCATGGGGAGGGGGGGGGAGTATGCATTGTCCCTGTAATCAAGATATAGATGAAGGCATGAGGGCTTATTTGCTACCAATTTAACCTGGTGATGGGTGTAGTATAAGAGTATAAATAAAATTAGCTGTGAAAGAAGTAACTCTCTTCTCCTGTTATAAGTTTCAAGAAACTCAAATTACACTACTGGGATGAGCCTTTGATACAAGTCATCAGCACTTAACAAAATCTTAGTGCAGTGGTTCTATTCCATAGCTAATCTCCAGTGAGGATACTTTACAGCCATTCTGATAAAAAGCCAAGCCAATAAGAGCTCATATGAAAAAGTATTTGAAAATTCTTGTTGATGGTCCTTCCCATAACTGCCAGTTTCCCCCGTAGGCTTTTTAACTTTCCAGGTTTCTTTTGTACCATTTAACAAAACAAAGAAGCAAAGATCCTGTAACCTGCCTGGACAGACAGCAAGATAAACTACCAAGCCTGCTCATTAGAGCAGCTTGCCTGAAAAGCACCATTGTTAGCAGCCTGCCCTTCCTTATCTCTCTATCTGGAAACTGGGTGAAGGCAAAGGAGAACCAGGAATGTTAATAAGGATGACTACTACAGGCAGCAGCAAACTTCAAAAAGGAGTTCAAAGGAAAAACAGTCCATAGGTCAGTGCTACACAAATGAGACATATTGATGGAGGGAGAAGAGAAATTACTATTATTATCACACTTCCATGTTATTGGGTTAAAGCTTCTGGAAAAGCTAGGGCAAGTACCTCATCTTGAAAGGAAACAAAGCTGTAAGGCCTTGAAGTGCAAAGAGTTTACCATGGTAACAGATGAAAATGAGCCTCCAATAGTTACCTAGCACTCAACAGACAGAACAGGTGTATGTTATCTTTCAAAATAAACATCCATGTTTCATCCCCTGGCTTTATTACAAAAGGTATAGACTTTTTTCTCCCTTCACTTAGAGGAGTCTGGTTACCTGGAGGAGTCTGCCATTGTTTAATAACCAAAGGCTGTTGTTTGGGAAATGTAACCAGCTTTCTAAAGACAGCTCCTTTTGAAGTTTCCAGTTTAAATTGATATTGTAACTATTGTAGGATAATGCTTTCATAATACAGTAGCACTGGCACAAACTGGATTTGCAGCATAGATGGAACCCTAACAGCTTCCTAAATCATGCTCCAGGTCTTTGTAAATTCAAGTCTGTTGTATAAGTCAGGAATGTGGTTAAAATATGGTTCAGCACTATCTCCACTGCAAGACAGCCCTCTATTTAAACCACGTCAGCAGCCTACTGTGTTGTAACAGGTCCCTTCTAGACAGTCATTGTTACAGTGATAAATGGGAACTTCACAAATACTTATGCTTAACTTTCTAAGATCTCTCTGAAATCTTATTCACCTCTTCTGAAGACACTTGTCTTGTCTAACTAATGCAATGACCATAAAGAGAACAGAACCAAGCACTACATTTGCATTGAAACAATTATTGCCGGCAGGTTGTAGCACATTTTCTCTGCCCACTGGGAACAGAAGTATTTTTTGTTTGAGGACAATGTTGTTGTAGACTACCCACAACACGGCTAATTTATTTTGAATTAATATACTTAAATATTTTTATTCTTTGGAGCTTGACTTTTTTTCTTTTTTTAAAGTAGCTCATCCCAAAAACAGCAGCATTGATGGGGTTTGTTAGAGCTAACTATTACTTTTACTTGGACTGACACATAGTTGCTGTGATGCATCCATACTATTTTCATCATGTTAAAGTCTGCTAAATATAATGCTTTGAGACTGCCATATCTGGGTGAGAGGCATCACAGTGATGTAAAAATTTCAGCCTTGAGAGTTTAAGCAAGAGACTGAGTGCTGAAGTGTGCTATGAAAAAGCCTGCAGTCTTCCAAGTGCTTTTGATAAGTTGAAGAGATTTAATAAGAAACACTTTTAAAAAGTCTGATATTGGGTATGGGGGAGATGATACGTTAAAGAGCATTTCATTTTTAGGCCACCTCACTTAATCCAGCCCAGGTTGGTAGTGACCAAAAGTCATTACAATCTGATGGCTGTATGGTGGCCGATGTGAAATGAGTTATTGACCAGTTAATTTCTCAGTGCACATGACACACACACAAAACTTATCACAACAACTTCCTGCTCTATAACTTTCCTGGGATGGGGTATACAACCCCTCATAGCAGTAAGGAAAGGGTTAAATGGCTACTCTGGGACCCACCCACCACATCTCCAAAGTATGCACAGCTTGCAAGAGGAGCTCAAAAAGAGAACAAGCCAGTTCAGTAGGCTGCAGACAGTGGAGGTGAACTGATCTACACCCTGAGAGCCTGGGAAGAAGAGCACTGCAGGAGCACACAGGGAAGAGACTGGTGATTCTCAGAAGGCCTGAAACTTTATCTTTGATTCCAGGTATTCAATGACACTATACCCATTGGGAAAGAAGGGACTGGTGGGAAGTGATCCAGGAGACAGCTTTATAACACTTTGGTGCAAGACTTAGCTGCTTTACACTGGGTCCTGTGTTGGAACCTAGTGGCGAGGGTAAGCCCAGATTCCCCTATAGAGGGTGCCAAAGGTCAAAGCCTTCCCCTGATTTGGAGAGTCCAGAGGAGAGAAGGCCCTAAGGACAGAAGGGTCAAGATCCTGAGAACTCAACCTGGGGGGGAGCCATCTCACCTAACTCAGAGGGCAACCCCATTGCTGCAGTCTATATATCCCAAAAGGGGCAGACATAAACATGTGACCTGCCTGAGGGCTGAGTCACAGAAGGGATGGACCACCGCAGACATAGGTGCTGAAACTAGGCGTGCGGGAGGTGTGGCAACAACTCCTGGCTTGAAGTGGTTTCCATCATATACAGGGTTTATAGTTTGGTTCAATGGCTCTCAGCACCCCCACTATAATTGTTCCAGCATCCCTGACCACAGGACCAGAGGGACCATCAACAGAGGGGCACCAGGAAAGAAGAGAACCTGCCACAGTATGCTCGGCCACTGGGCGGTGCTTGCCGTGAGTGAACTCTTTAACACTTCCTCGAAAAGAGATGTAGAGCAGAGACTAAGCACTAATTTCAAGGTTGTTATTCACAAGTAATAGTTTCTTGACCAAGGACTCATCATGTTTTAGGGTCACTGGCAACTTGTCTTCTTTAAGGAAGCCAGACTATCCCTATCACTAATAAGCACAGACACTCAATACTGGCTTTCAACGAGTGTGGTCCAATATATAGAGCACTTCTTATCATGGAGTCAGGCAGTACAGGTATATGGACAACACCAAGGCTGGCTGCCTTTCAGAGGGGTGAGGCAGTCTCTTCAAACAGCCATAGTGGTAACTGAGAAGATGGCTATATGGCTCATGTTGAAGAGGTGAGAGAGAGTAAGGATATTATACAGGAATGGGGTATTGGCCACATGGGGCAAAGGGGCAGAGATGCCCAGGATGTGTATATTAATCCTTACTACATAGTGGAAGGAGGAAAAAGAAGGAATTTAGTGTTCACCACTCCTGAAGGGAAGAGGAATGCAATGGAAAAGGGGTATTTTCTTAGAGCTTGCCTACACAGTTATTGTACTGCTATATCGGTTTAGGTAAAGCAGTGCAATGCCCTAGAGCAGACACAGTTTTACTGGTATAAAGATGTTTATATTGGTATAGCAATAAACTAGAGACTTATAAAGTATAGACCTATGACAGTATGAGGATTAGCTGCCCTGGTATGACACGTTTTAATTAGAAATATTCACTATTGAAAACACATAACATTAGTTCCGTACCTTCCAGTAACACTAATTAAACACTAAACCCATGCATCAAGTTGAGAATATTCCCATTCCTTTACACAACTGGCTGGGAATAGGAAAAACTAATATGTGAGACTGAAAATCCTGGCCAGTTTGGGAACTGGCACCAGAGACAAAGGTTTCACTCGATCACTCAAATAAACATCTGAGCCATAGAGTGAGTGTCAAGAACTGCAGCCTCATTCATCCAAGCTACAACAGAGAAAAAACAGGCGGCCCATCATGTCTGCTTCCTTTTTGGTTCCATTTGCCTATATTTCTCAACCGCACACATTCCCCTTCTTTAATGTTTTATCTACTTTCCTCTTGAACTGATTGATGTCCCTTGTTGCAATGGCAATTTCCTGTACACAGAACTGTTAATCTGGAGACCCAGGTTTGAGTATCTAGCCTCTGATCCTACTCCCTATTTGTCCACACCACAAAAATCATAGTTTAATCTGCTCAGAAAGTTTTAAGATAGGGAAAGCAGGAAGTGTTGCTTATCAGGCTGTGGTGGGGAAGCCTGCATAGAGCATCACTGCATTATTGTTGAGCCAAGACCCTGTTAGTCCCCTAACTTTCATGAGTAGTATATTCATCCAAACTTTAAAAAGCCAGCATATAGAAAGGTAACTTAGAGAGGACACTGGCAGTGTGAAGAAGTTACAGTTATCTTTATCAGAAAGATACTGATTACATCAATGCAGACACTGAGGTTACATCAGTTGGCGAGCTCAGCAAGTGTTCTGCACGTTACCTAGGATATTGCACACTGAGCTGAGTTCATCAAAGGATGCACAACAGCAATCATGCTACCTGATCTGAATGTGAACTGAGTAGTGTCTATGTACATTGAAAATAAAGAGATGCAGCTTGTACAAACACAAGTAGCGTGCGTAGGCATATTTAGCTTGTCACGCAGGAGTTTAAGTACCTCAAACCTTACCACATACCAGGATTCAGCAGGCTTTAAAAGGATTTCTTGGCAACCCAAAGTAAGTATCATTTAACAGCATACATAACTGTAACTCCAGTTTTGACTCCTTTATTTTTTATATGCTTGTATTAGTTAATTTTCTTCAGTATCACTAGTGTGTAGCAGAAATTAGTTGCATAGCACCATCGTTATGCATGGCACTTTACAGAACAAAATAAGATGACAAGGCCATTCTCCTGAAGAGTTTTTAATCCAACTATATATTGATTTGAGATTCCTTACTAAAAGCATTTGCAAATTATCTGTTGCTTCTTTGTAAGTGGTTCTTTTTTGTGTGTGGGCTTCCTTTCTCTGTATCTAATTTGGATGGGGGATAATGAACTTCCTGTGTCATATGCTGCAGGACAAGGAACTTCACTGTATCCTGACCAAGGAAGAGTATATCAGTAAATGGTTTATAAGGGAGCTCTGAAGAATCTTGTTAGAAAGACTTATTCTCCCAGTTCCATTTGTTTGATGAAGTGCATCATGTGATAAATGCATATAATGAACTTCTTCAGATGCTGCCAGTGAGAAACCCAGCAGCTAAAATGCCGAGTCCCATGGCATCACTGTGTGCATAACAAACTGATTACGTGAATGAAAAGATCACGCAATTCAAAGGATTCTTCTCCTTCCACACTATACAACACACCAATGTTATAAGATTTTCTGTGCTGACCCCAACTAAAATATTCTGAGTATGAAATCCAGTTCCGTCCAGTGCAGTTTTCCTCCCATGACTTAACACTTCATTAGGACATCCAGATCTCATTTCTCAAAAAATACCAATTTGCAAAAAGTTTTCCTAGTGAAACATTTATTCATGTTTCTAAATGCTTCATTTCTGTTGAAAAAAACTGAGCACAAATTCAGTGTTATAAGGTCAGTTTTTGTTTTTTAAACAAAAAATAATTTAAAAGGCTTCTGGTATGAAATGTATTTCACCCACAACATAAGTGTTACATTTGTGAGATCAAAGGTCAACTCATTAATAAGAAGCCCTTCCCAACTCATGGCTGTAGAACCCATGGTCATTTTAACACAGCAATATCTGATATGCTTTGTCCTGCCCATGCCCCTCTACATTCACAATGCTTCTAATGCTCAGTCTGAGAACCTTTAATAACTCTAGAGAATTGCACTATTGCAATTTTTACTAGTGTGATTGAACTAGTACAAGCTACAATGGTGCAATGTAGCGGTTCTCAAACGTCATTGCACCGTGACCCCCTTCTGACAATAAAAATTACTACGCGACCCCCGGAGTTGGGACTGAAGACGGACCCCGACAGCCCCGCCGCCCGTGGTCCACTGCCCAGGGCGGGGGGCCAAAGCTGAAGATCAAGGGCTTCTGTCCTGGGAGGGGTGCATGTAACCTTAGCCCTGAGTGATGGGACTCAGGCTTCAGCTTCAGCCTCAGGCAGTGGGGCTTGGGCTTGGACTTGGGCTTCGGCCCTGGGCCCCAGCAAATTTAACACCAGCCATGGCGACCCCATTAAAATGGGATTGTGACCCACTTGGGGGTGCCAACCCAGCGTTTGAGAACCCCTGGTGCAATGCATTCACAGCTGCCATCCTATTTTTAAGGGTAACAGAGTGCACTGCACCCACACCCAGCACTGCACCTCTCTCACAATTCCCAGCATAGCTCCCAGAAATACATGCATAATGTATGTGACATAAAATAAATGTGTGACACAAAGGAGCGTTGGCAAGAGACGCATCATTATTTCCTGATCCCAGTATTCTGACATAAATCAGGGTTACATGACCCTAAGAGCCTTGCGATCTGACACGGCACAGTGTCCACTCATTCCTTTTACAATGGATAATATATATTTGCAGTTTTTCACATTTTTGATTGATTCCAATAACTGGTTGATGCTGTCTATAAGAAAGGTGACCATTTATATCCTGGGTTCTCAACCTTTTTCTTTCTGAGGTCCTCCCTTCCCCCTGCCCCCAACATGCTATAAAGGCTCCACGGCCCATCTGTGCCACAACTGTTTTTCTGCATATCTAGTAGATTAAAAGTCAGGGCCAGTGTTAGGGGGTAGCAAGTAGGGCAACTGCCCAGGGTCCCACACCACAAGGGCCCCCGTGAAATAAAGTTACTCGGGCTTTGGCTTCAGCAGCGAGGCTGAGGCGCCAGCTTTCTGCCCTGGGCCCCAACAAATCTAACGCCGGCCCTGCTCTCTGGTTTATTTTGGTAGTCCCCCCTCCAAACCTGCTTGTAGCCCCCTCATAGGCTGGTTGAGAACCACCGATTTATATCACTGTTGTTACCACTATTACACAATTTCCATACGTATTGTACAAAGTATGTCATGTAAGGCAAAGGTTCTCAACCTTTCCAAACTACTGTACCCCTGTCAGGAGGCTGATTTATCTTGCGTACCCCAAGTGTCACCTCACTTAAAATCTACTTGCTTACAAAATCAGACATAAAAATACAAAAGTGTTGCAGGACACTATTACTGAAAAATTGCTAACTTTCTTATTTTTACCATATAGTTATAAAATAAGTAATTTAGAATATAAATATTGTACTTACATTTCCAGTTTTTCACTTGTGAGCCTTGTCTGAAGTCTGAGCCCCACCGCCTGGAGCAGAAGCATGTAACTTAGCTTTGTGGTGCCCTCCGCGGTGCAGGGCCCCAGGCAATTGCCCTGCTTGCCACCCCTAATGTCAGCCCTGCACTTGCAATCTACCTAAAGTTGTCCACCACCTGCCCGGGGAATCGCAACCCCCACGTTGAGAAACATTAATATAGGTGAGTTCAGTATCAGAGGGGTAGCCATGTTAGTCTGAATCTGTAAAAAGCAACAGAGGGTCCTGTGGCACCTTTAAGACTAACTGAAGTATTGGGAGCATAAGCTTTCGTGGGTAAGAACCTCACTTCTTCAGATGCAAGTACAGGTGAGTTCAATACCCCCTGGAAGACCTCTGTCTACTCCCTAGTTGAGAACCACTGATATATCAATGGAAAAGTTACGATTTGCTAGGTATGATTATTCTGTTTATATGCATGTATCATCTTTGTATCTGATATTATGAATACTGGCTATGTATATTTATCTTAAACCCGTGTTGTATTCCTGGGTGACACCTCCCCACCCATATAGATTTACGCCAGGGCTAGACAGCCATGTATTGATGGCCCATTAAGAACACTCAGCTCTCACAGTGGGCCATTGATGAAACTCATCCTGTCTAGTAGGTCTTCCTGTGGATGCCCCAGACAGCAATTAGCCAATGGCCACCCCCTGTGATTCCGCAAAACATGAAAGGGCATGTGATATGCTCATGTGACCCTGAACTACTCCATCTTGTGCAAGTATATTTCCATACACGGGGCTGTGGACTTTGTTTGGGACAGTACATTTCCATGCACATGGCAAAGGATATAAAAAAGATAGCCAAGACACCTCCATTTTGTCTCTCTCCTGTTCTAATTCTCTGGACTGTGGATATACAACTAAAAGGAGTATCTTGAACTATGGACAGTGGACCTTCCAATCTTTTGGAAGTTACCAAAGAGACATTTGCAAGCCAGCAGTCTATTGCATCACTGCTACAGACCTGATATAAGGACTTTGCAATTATTTGTATGTATATAATCTATTAACCATTTATAACTCTCTTCTTTTCTTTTATTAATAAATCTTTAGTTAGTTTACTAAGGATTGGCTGACAGCATGATATTTGGAAAAGAGCTGAAATACATATTGACCTGAGATAAGTTTCTGATCCTTTGGGATTAGTAAGAACCTCACATATGGTGAATTAGGCTTTCAATAACCCCTCACTATTTTAGACCTGTTTGTCTGGATAGGAGCCAACAGCTGGAAAGGGGGGATTGTGTTTGGCTTCTGGTTAACCAGTGTGGTACTACAGAAGCACTTTTGTTGGTGAATCTAATTATAAACAACTCGTTTTGGGGGATTGTCTGCCTAATTCTTGCAGTCTGCCCTGATATGGCATTCTCAGTGTGGTCCATCCCAGATACCTAGTCACAAACTGCTTTAAACTGTTCTGTGTTGTACAATAATCTGCACATGCATCAAAGGGAAGAGGCTATGCCCTGACACTTGCATGTGTCATGGTGAAAAGTCAACAGCTTCAGCTGCACATGCTGCTGACATCTTTGGGTATGGTCCGCGCAGGGGTTGTGAGAGATGTGTGGACTGGTGCACTAGTGAGGTATGTGGATTTGCTTTGAGGGCTGAAAGCAGGGAAGGGCAGGGTTTACCTTCCTATGTATGGATTAACTAATAAGATTTTTTTTCCTTTTCCAGATCTCAGGATTTTGGGAAATGCTGCTGAGATGGCATATGGACAGCCATGCCAACTCCCAAAAAAGTGAATCCTTTGTATGTCCAGGTCTCTCAGTGTCTATACTGACTAACCAATGATTTTGTTGTTGTTGTTGTTCTTTATGATGTTTAGGTGAATATCTTAAAAATAATTGTTCAGGTCACAAATGCATATTTTGAAAACATATAAAGTAGTTTATTTTGCATTGTTTTTTCATGTCTTTTGCTGCTTTGGGGGTTGGGATGCCAGAAGTGTAGGAACAAAGCAGAGCTGATAACGCAGAATACCATGTCATATGCTCTCAGGCCTGCATGCAGCCAGTAGGTGAGTGGCTTGACAGGCAACAGAGTGAGTGCTCTTACCTGACTACTGTCACTGAAGGGAGAGTGAGAGCAATGTGCGATCACACTCGGTGAACTCCTTGCACCTTGCATTTCCTACCTACTCTGGAACTACAGTGGTGCAGAATGACTCAGTAGCTGATGAAACAGTGCTTAGCCTTGCTCAGAGCAACTGCAATCACAGCTGTGATGTGAACAGCTGTGTGTCCTTGAAAGCAGTCGTGCGTGGACACAAGAGGTTTTATAAGCATGCTATGGGCACAATGCTGTTCACAATACCCAAATGCTGTTGTATAGATAAGACGGGATGAAGATGGGATATTCCTCAGTTTTACATATGGAAGGAATGACCAGCAATGGGTGACTGAGTCACAGAAGAAAACTCGATTTGTTAGATGGATCAGAACTTTAGTATAATCCAAGTTTTCAAAAAAACTGACTTTCTGACCTACCCATCAGAATATTTTAAAGCTTTACAGGGTTCCACGTTTGTTGTGTCTCACTGAATTCTTAGCAAATGTGCTCCGCTTACCAAAAAAAAAAAAAAAAAAATTCTGACTCCCAGCCCTACAAACTAAACCTGGGATTTGAGAATCATGATGGATTTTAACTTTCCCAGACACTAATTACCAGTCATAGAGTTCCTGCAGGTCATGTTATTTCTTCAATTCCACCTGAACATTGAAGATTAATGGGATTGCACAGGTGTAACTGAAGAAATAATATGAAGACAATCGGCTTGCACAAAATTAAATAAAAACATAATGTGGTCTCCAGTGATAATGATATATGAGAAAGAAGGGACCCAGCTTGATTCTTTTGCTGCCCAGGATGAGTTTGCAAGGCTAGCAGTTAGAAAAAACATCTTAATTGTCAACTAAGCAAATTTGATATGAAATCAGGGCGACACAATAACTGTGGAATTTCACAATGCTGTTAGAATGACTCTTAAGAGAAGAAATAAACTTTAATTCTATAATCTAATGTAAACTTGGCCCCTGAATGTCATTGTTTCCACTTTAAAAGGACGATCTTATGGAAGATGTTGTTTCATAGTTCTTACTAAATTATGAAGTTTTGAAACTGTACTTTATTCCTTTCCCAAATGTTACCCCTCTATTGCAGAGACTCTTTAGTTTGGTGTCACAGGTTACTTAGAGACGTTGGGCCTGCTGTTGGGTTGTAGGAGGGTTTTGTTTTTCTTTTTTAAAACAATCAAGGAAGCATTTTTGGTAGCTATGTTCTTGCAGCCAAACCTATCCTCAAAACAGCCATATAAAATTACTGTTCATGAGTTTAGCAAGACAAATATAAGGGTGAGGACCAGTGGGTCACATTTTGAGAGAAAGATGTGATCTGACCCAGGAATTACTGAGTTCTAATCCCAGCTCTGACGCTGATTCCAACTCTGTGGTCTTGTCCAAGTTATTTTTTCTGCACATTTTGGATGCCTCAAGCTTTACATGCACATCTTTAGACACTTGTTCTCTCAAATTGGGCCCCCAGAATTAGTGGACCCTTTTGAAAATGTGGGCTTAAATCTTACTGAGTCTCAATTTCCCCAGTTGTAAAATGAGGATATTACGGAGGTTGCTCCCTATTACAACATAGCATAATCATAGAAATGTAGGACTGGACGGTTCCTCAAGAAGTCATCAAGTCCAGCCCCTTTTACTGAGGCAGGACCATCCAAACCTGGACCATCCCTGACAGGTGTTTGTTCAACCTTTTCTTAAAAACGTGCATGATGGGGATTCCACAATCACCCTTGGAAGCCAGAGGTTATTCCAGAGGTTAACTATGCTTATTGTTAGAAAGTTTTTCCTAATATCTCATCCAGATGTCCCTTGCTGCAGATTAAGCCTATTACTATTTGTTCTCCATGTCCACTACAGGTAGGACCATCCTTTTTAGAACAGTCCTTAACTGTTATCAAGTCTCCCCTCAGCCTTCTTTTTTCATTCCCAGTATTTTTAACCATACACTCCTGAATTATATTAGTGTTTTTCAAAACTACGTTTCATTGTTGACTCATATGCAATTTGTGAAGCATTATACAACCGAGATCCTTTTCAGCCATACTATCGCCTGGCCCGTTTTTAGACATTTTGTAGTTGTGCACTTGATTTTTTCCTTCCTAAGGCAAGTACTTTGCACTTGTCTTTACTGAATTTCATCTTTTTGATTTCAGCCCAATTTTCCAGTTTGTCAAGGTCATTTTGAATTCTAATCCTGTCATCCAAAGTCCTTGCAACACCTCCCATCTTGGTGTCATCCACAAATTTTATAAGCATACTCTCCACTCCATTATCCAAGTCATTAAGGAAAATACTGGGGAATACCAGACCCAGGGCTGACCCCTGTGAGACCCCACTGGATATGTCTTTCCAGATTGACAGCGAATCATTGATAACTCCTCTTTGAGTACAGTCTTTCAACCAGTTGTGCATCTACCTTATCATAATTTCATCTAGATCACATTTCCCTAGTTGGCTTATGAGAATATCATGTGGGACTGTGTCAAAAGCCTTACTAAAATCAAGATATTTACATCTACTATTTCCTCCCATCCACTAGGCCAGTAATTCTATATGCTGTTGCTATTCTTTTGGACTCTTTCTTAGCAATAATACTACTTCAAAAGTGCATTATGAGGTTTACTTTATTCATGTTTTAATACTCAGTAGACAAAAAGCACTATATGAGTGTTAAGTGTTGTTGTTCTGGGCCTGGTAACCTTGACAATGTCTCTTCACAAAGTAGTAAGTGAGGAAGCTCTATAGCCAAAAGTAAAACATGGAAATTAACTAGCCTGTTGTTCATTCTGAAACCTGGAATTTGGTCACTTTGGGGTATCCCATAGTAGATTCTTTTTGGCACTGTCACACTTTCACATATACTAAATATTGTCTAGATATTTCCTAAACAGGACTATCTCCAGGGATTGAAACCATAGGGTATACAGCTTAAAATAAAGATAGTGATATATGGGCAGAAAAGAGCAGAGCACAATTCTTCTGGGAATCACTCCAAGAAAATAAATATGTAAGATGGCACTTTATCCCTACACAGAGCTGGCAAGGGAAGAATAACATTTGGATTTGATCATTTTAAAATTAAATAAAAATTAATTCTGTGCTCGTACGTACATGCTGCTCTCCCGTTGAAATTAAAGGGTATATCAAGTGGTAAAGTTTGACCTATTCTGACAAATTCAGACTTTGTATCAACAGATGCAGTTCCACTGACTTCGGTGGAGGTCTGAATTTGGTACCTAGTTTTTGACATACCTATGGGTCTTTTGGAAAGGATCATTGTAATTTAGTCTCTATCTTTGTTGTTCTCCAACCTTTCCATAACATAAACTCATTCTTAGGAGAGAGTCTGCAAATAGCTTTACAACTTGCCACTGCACACAAGAGGTAACAAGAAGAGATTGTACCCAGAAGAGATTCCAATGGATGAATTGGCAGCAAAGAGAGTCATGGTGTAACTATGCAGGGTGCAGTCAGATGTTTGTGTGTGTTTTGTTTGAATGTAATCTGGAAATAAACAGGGTTCCAATGGAGTTCGTGGTGTGCTGATGTGATGTGCTCACACCAGCCTTTGTTGCCTAATAAATGGGTTGGTACGCATTGCACCATTTGTAGTTTTTATTTGAGGTGGCTACCTTCAGCCTCAATGAGATGCAAAATTTAACCTGATGATGAGAAATGAAACAGGTTCTTACCCACAGAACATACAGGTGATAGTGTGAGCTAGTACAATACAACGCAATATGGCACTATATAAACTCAGAATGGTGTATGGGAATAATAAATGGAATGCTTCATGGACCATACAGATTTTCAGAAGATTTTAAAGGAAGAGAAAAAGGGAGTTTAGTGCACACCAACTAGAAGCCTCCTCTAAACATAAAAAAGTGGCATGAAAGAAGGCACAAAAATCGGAGTGAGCAAATGATATATGTAAGGAGATAGACATGGGTGATAGGTAGCAAATCTGAGGCAGTAGAGGAGATGAGAGTGAAGATTTGGGTGAGTGCAAAGTTAAGGGGAACCTTGTGTTTTATTGTTGTATGCAGTAATAGAACTGAACAATTTCATATGAGGGTTGCCAACTTTCCAATTTCTGAAAACTGGACGCCCCTGCTTTGCCCCCTACCTAGAGGCCTACCTCTTGCTCCACCCCTCCCCCAAAGTCCCACCCTCTGCTCACTCCTCTCCCCCCACCTGCCCTGCACCCCGCCCAAGGACCACTGTACTCTTCCCACCCATCTAGTTACCTGCACGGGGGGAGGCTCTCTCCATAAGCTACTCACTCAAGTCACACACGAAGTCTGGGGAAGAGCTGGGAACAGAACCCAGGAATCCTGACTTCCATCCCCATCCCCGCTCTAACCACAAAACACCTTTCACTTCTCTGAGCCAAGAATAGAGCTCAGGAGTCCGTCCCAGCTCCCCTACTCTAACCCACTTCCCCCGCTCCTTTCCCAGAGCAGAGGATGGAACCCAGGCATCCTGGCTCCCAGTCCCCCTGCTCTAATACCTTCCCTCCCACCCTGACTGGCTCAAAAAAAGGTACATGGAAATATTGGTTCTGAGGTCACCTTGCTTCTCCCAAGGGGTTTAACGAGCCGCCGATCCTGGTGCCTCCACACCCTACAGTGAGGGGCTCTTGGGGCCCCGGCTCCAGGGCTCCCTCAGCAGTGGGCTAGGGCAAACTGGCTGCAAAGTGCTGGAGTCTGCCAACTTCTGTCACCTGGAAGATGCGGGGGCCCGAGTTCCTAGGGAGCGGCTCCTACCTGGGCAGTGATCTTGCTATGCGTGGAGCTTGGATTGGCAGCCCGGCCCGGCCCTTCAGGGGAAGTAGCCCCGTGCAGCACGCGAAGCCCAGGCCCCTCTGCAGCTGGCGGGGGGGCGAGTGGAGTGGGGCCAGAGGCTGCTCTCCAAACGGCCCCTCTCCCGACATCCGCACCCCACAGGTAGCAGGCTGCCCCCTTCTTTCCTGCAGCATGCTCGGAGTTTGCCTTCCCCTCACCTGCTCTGCTCGCAGCGCCGGTGCAAACCTGCGGGTGCTCCCCTTCCCCAGCCTCAGGCTGGCCCCCTCCTCAGCTGGAGCTGCCTCCCTAGGTTGCAAGAGGCCTGCTGTAGCTGCCACTGAAACTCTCCATCAGCAGCTGAGCAGCTGCTGGTCTTCCAGCAGTGGGGATGCTGATGGCAGTTACTTTGGTAACTGGCCTTTTAGTGTCTGGTCAGCAGTGCTGACTGGACACTGCCAGGTCCCCTTTTCTAACAGATTTTCCAGTTGAAAACCGAACTCCTGACAACCCCATGAGTCTAAAACATTAGTTTGTTGGTATCTTTGTAAATTCTTTTCCTAATAACCATCATGTTTCCTTGTGCTACTTTTAAGTTTTGGAGTCTAAGGGCAACAGTCAAAAGAATGCAATAGTTTATGCCATGTTGTTCTAAATTAATTCTGTTCATCAGTTGCTTTCTGCTCTTCTTTCTTACTCTTTTTCTTTTGGCTTTTGCATGTTGCAATCTCTGTATGGCTGGAAGTTCTTACATTACCAAAGAAGTGATTTAGCTCTGACTGCACTGGGGAATCCCAAGAAATAATATAGGTTCCGCCAGATGACATGGCACATCTCCAACACTTCAGACTCCAGTGTGGTTTGAATACTGTATCTAAGCTTAGTAAGATATCTTGCTGGGTAAATTTTCTGGTAAAAAGTCCTTTATGACAAAATATCACCCTTCTTGGAACAAAATGCATAGTCTGTCATAATCTTGATTTCACAAGTTAGCTCATTTAAAGGTGGTAAGCCAAATTCTAATGCTGAGTTTCATTTATTATTAATTATTATTATTACAACATCATTTTTATAACACCATAAGTGTGCACTGTGCTTTATTTACAAATGACAGATACAGTCACATCCCCAAAAAGCATACAAATACTAAGATCCTGAATTTGAGGCCATAGAGTGCCCTGGAGATTCATTAGTAGAGATGATCCTCTATGCAGATGTCACCCTTTCTGTGTAGAAAGGGGGCAGCAGCCCAGAACCACTGAGTGTATGAATGGGAACAGGTGGGAAAAGCTGAGGGATGCCATCATCCCCCCATCAACTGCACGAGGAATCAGCAGAAAAAGTTCATTCTGCCTCAGGCTGAACTTATTTGTCCAGAAATCACCTGCAGCTACTCTGCATCCCTGGAATAATCTTCAAAATTGAAATGAAAACTTTTACTTTTTTACAATTTGGATGTGGATTCATTGCTTGTGGAAGGCTTCACATTCACAGTCCTGGAGACTGAAGTCCCTTGTTTATCAGCAGAACAGATATAGCACAGACATTGCTGTCCCTAGCCTTGTGACAGAGGGTTTTTATATGTTCGACGTGCCCCCTGCACTGAATACCAGTCCAACTGATCCCCACCTCCACCAGTCTCTTCAAGGTGGTCTCATACTAATGCAGATTTTGGCTGCTTCTCCTAAAAATCACACTCCCTGCTGTACTCAAACCAGAGGTTAATGAGACACCTGGTGAGCTCCTCTGGTCAGCTAGCAGCACACTGGGTAGGCAGCTTGTAATGTTGTTTTGCACAGATGGGCTGAGCTGGGCAGGAAATAGAGAAGGTGGCATAGAATCAAGGGGTAAATGCTGATGTATATAAACAGGCACATACGTGGCTTTCAGTGCATAGGATGTGAGTGGGAAGTACCGTAAGTAGTTAGAAGGGCTGGAACAGACAGGCTCCAGGAATTGTGGGAAGCCATTGGAGGACTATCTAAACACAAGCTTAGCAACACACGATTTAGCTGCATCCTCACTGCAAAGTGGGTGGGTAGGAACACACCTTAAAGCAAAACCTGCTTTAACCCACACCCCCAGTCACGCATGCGAGCATTTATTCAAAAGGCATATAAGCACATGTCTGAGGTTTCATGTGTGGATGGATGGTACCAGTGTCTGGGCTAAAACTTATATAAAACATGTGGTAAGCCTGGAGTGCAGAACCCTTAGCGGGATCACTTCTAGCAATGACGAGAATAGTTTGGTCTCCATCCCCGATCAGTCCTTGGTCTCTACTGAGCTGGCTAACTATGTTGGTAGATTTTATGGTGTGGATACTTGTCCATTGGAAACTGGACTGAGACCACCAATTCATTTTACAGAGGCCACCAACAGCCACCAGAAGATAATAAGTTTTAGTCACTACCAATCTGGGCTGGATAGCGACAAGATCTATTCCACACCCCGTTACCAATCCTCCAAGCCACTGAATTCCCACAAGAAAATAAATCTTTTTGTTGTATGTGGTTATTTGACAGTGTAGAGGCCACCTGTTTCCACTTACGTGTTTGTCAGTTACCTGATGTTTCAGAGCAGCAAGGGGAATTCACTCTGTCTTGAAGGTATTTTAGTGTAAAAATGGGAAGAAAGATAGTCTTGTGGTTAAAACACAAGAATGGGAGACAAGAGGCCCCACAACAGACTTCCTCTGTGACCCTGTGAAAATCAGTTACCCTTTCTGTGCCTCACTTTCTCCATCAGTAAAAAGGGGTTTTGATTATTGAATTCATTAATATTTATGAAATGCTTCAATCATTGCTAATTCCTCCTCTCCCCTTTAACTTCCAAGAAACTCAGTGGTAGATTCCCCCCACCCTAAATATTTGGAAACTAAAAGTCACTCCTTCGACTTGGGCTAAACGAAGTTGTGTCTCATTATAAGATTATTTAAATATATAAGAGTAATAACAATCAAATTAAGGCTGACAATTTAAGCTTGGCTCTTGCTATTATATCTTCAGGGAGACATGTTTGTTTTCTGTCCGATGCAGTGAATGAAGTCTGAATATCAGCACAAATCTTTAGCCATATCTCAGAGTGATAGGCAGTGGGAGGTAACTGAAGCATATTTATTTATTGACCAAGCTTGTGAAGACCTTGTGCTCAGCTTGATGGCATTTATCTGTTTCAGTGTATGTAACATAATAACTTTTGAACACCACATCTGATCAATTCCTAAATTTCAGAGAATGTTCCCAGACATCAACGGCCTGAACCCTTTTGATTTTGGGGAAAATCAAAAGGGGACAAATGGGGGACATAGGGAGCACCTGCCACCTGACTGGCACAGCCAGAGCTTCATGCACCTCTTCACTTGTCTATATATAAAACAACTGGTTGATGGCACTTATTAATGGCTTCCAGCATAACAATACCCCTTCTAATTTTGATCTATGCTCGCAATAGAGATTAACATTTTGATAACTCGTTCAAGGTATCTTCCCAACAGAAAGAAAAATAATGACTGGGGGGACGGACACAGAGCGCCTGACATGGGGCTGGGGAATGGAGGACTTGGGAACACACATGCAGCCCCTAACATGGGAGGAGACTGTGGGGAACACAAAGCCTCTGGCACACAGGGGAAGGTGGGAATCAGGGGCACACAGAACCCTGGCAGAAGGGGGAATTGGGGAACCCTGGCATATGGCAGAGAGGAGGATGGGGGCACACAGAGCTTTAACTGTGGGGAGATGAGGGACACACAGAGCCCAAAGCATGAGGGGGGTGAGGTGGGATAATTTTCAAGGAGTCCCTGAAATAGGGGCGGATGGGAGGGTTGCACACAAAGAGCTTGGGGTAGGGAGATGGAGGAATGCATGTAGCCCCTGTTGTGTGCAATAGGCTCCGCCTACAGAAGCTATAAAGAGTGTGACCCCCTAGTTCGCATTTTTTAAAAAGTATACACCTGTACATGTTCTGATTGTCTCCCTCTTCCCTGCCATTCATATGTTGTTTGCTTTTTAGATTACTATTGGTTTAGGAGAGCAACTGTACTTTCCTGTGTGCTTAGAACATGCCTAGCAGATTGTGCACTATCAGAATACAAATAATAAGAAGTAACTCATTGCTAAGAAACCATTTTTGCACTAGAGCTAATTCATACCCAAAAGGGTGTTTTTCCTATATACTTTTTTTAACCACCCCCCATCTCTTTCATCATTAAGTTTGGCCAGATCCTGAAAGCCCTACCAACCATTTACTCCCATTAGTTCCACTGAGACTACTTGCATTTGCAGAATTAAGGCCTATGTTTTATTAACTTAAAAATTAACAGTAAAAATAGGAATCCAGTTGGAACTAATGACTTACTTATCCTGATATTAATGTCAGTGTTATCTCCTATCATTTCTGTAATAGCACAACCCTCATCACTCAATAGTGTATCATACATTGTACTTACCTGCATGGTACTAGTGGCATTTTGAATATGTTTTAAATAATGGAAGATGAGTTGCCTTAATGCCACATTGTTCTTTTAAATAATAAGCCATTTGATGAAGACAGACTTTTGGCTGCTGTCCATGACTACCATATGGTACACAGAGATAAGGGAAGATCTTGTGATTAGGTTCTAAAAAGGAAAAAAAGTAATAAATGTAGTTGTCAGCTGGCTCTTGTTTGCCATGTTTCATAATCCTCATGTACAAGTTTAGGAAATGAGTGAAACTGCTGAAATGATATCTATGAGCATAGTCTATGTACTCTGCAATTCTGAGAAAGTGGAATTTGCTGTAGAATTGTGCTCCAAAATCGAAAGTTTTGTCTATACTAAAAATTGCATTGGCTTAACTAACAGTGTTTTTAAATTGGTTAAACTAAAGTGATCTAAGCCAGGTTTAAATAATTTTAAGTGTGCCCACAAAGGGCTTTGTACTCTTTAACTAAATCAATTTAGAAAAACATCCTTAGACGATGCAACTTTTAACACAGACAAGGCCCAAGCTTTCATTTAAAAAAACAATTTTTCTAGCCCTTGTCATGGCAAAGAAAACCATGAACTCATCATAAATTGATGTAGTGATGTCTGCCTAAACCAACAGACAGCCTGGAATAATAGCATTGAAAGATGTGAACTGCTCCACTCATTTTAATAGGGTATTAACTTTGAAAATTAAGCCATTGTGTGTACACACAACTTACATTTCACCAAAGTCCATTTTAAAATTTATTTATGTCTGGTCTACACAGTTTTTATACTGATTTAACTATTTTGGTAGTTTGGGTTTTAACTTATAGGGCTACCATATGTCCAGATTTCCCCGGACATGTCCGGCTTTTCGGTCTATAAATAGCCGTCCGGGAGGGATTTTTAAAAATCTAAAAATGTCCGGGATTTCCCCCCAGTCGGCTATTAATAGACAGAAAAGCAGCGGCCAAGCGCCGCTGAACACCCAAAGCCTCTTCCCAGCTCCCCCCATCCCCTGCAGCCTTACCATGCTGTCCGGCCCCACAGCTGTCTTCCCCCTCCTCCACTCCCCTGAACGCTCCGCCCACCTGCTCCTCCCCCTCCCCTGCTTCCTGAGAATCAGATCTTTGCGGGAAGTGTGAAAAGAAGCAGGGGCAAGCGGGAGGCAGCAGCAGGTAAGCTGGGGCGGGGGGGGGGCGCGAGGAGGAGAGCTCCGGGGAGGCGTGGCCCTGGCCGAGCGGCGCCCGGTGGCCCCAGTGGCTCCGGCCCAGCTCGGGCCCCAGCGGTTCCGGCCCCAGGGCGGCGGCCCTGGATCCGGCCCCAGCACCCCGGCCCGGGCCCGGCTCTGGCCCCAGCACCCCCGGCCCGGCTCCAGCCCCGGTTCCAGCTGAGCGCACCAGCCCAGCCCCAAGCCCTGCAACCCCGGCCCGGGCCCGGCCCCAGCACCGCCGGCCCCAGTTCCGGCTGAGTGCGCCAGCCCAGCCCCAAGCCCCGCAACCCCGGCCAGAGCACAGCCTGATTCCTGGGCTCTTTAAAGCCGGCCCTGGTCAGGGGACAGGGAGGGGGGGTGGAATGGGTCGGGAGTTTGGGGGGGGGGGCTGTCAGAGGGGCAGGGGTGTGGAGAGG